TTGAATCAGGTTACTTACCAAAAATGGTACATTTCCATTAACTTGGTTATCAATAGGGAATTTACTATCACTAATGTTGTTGCTTTAGTTGACAGTGGTACAGACATGAATTGCATCCAGGAAGGATTGGTCCCTACTCAATATTTTGAGAAAACCACTCAAGGTCTTACCAGTGCAAATGGTGGTAAGATGCAGATTAAGTATAAACTTAATCACATTTTTATCTGTAAACAAGGTATTTGTCTTCCATCTACCTTTTTACTTATTAAAAACGTGGCACAACAGGTTATACTGGGCACTCCCTTTTTAGCCTTGATTATGCCGATTGAGAAAATTGATTCTCATGGAATTTGCTCACTTCTACAGGGTCAGTCAATAACTTTTGAGTTTTTGACCAAACTAGTAAACAAGTATATTAATGCCCTTATAGATAGTATTATCTTTAAAGAAAAACAATTGAATTATTTGCAACAGGAAGTCTCTTCCTTAGCAATAAATCAGAAATTGGTCCGGCCCACTGAGCAACAGAAAATAGAGTCAATACGACAAAATTTTCTAAAGAATACCTGCAGTGATGTTCCTAATGGTTTTTGGGATAGAAAGATACATATTGTTTCTTTACCTTATGAAAAAGGATTTACTGACCTCATGATCCCCTCTAAAGCTAGTCCAAGCCACATAAAGGCTAACTACTTAGAACTTTGCAAAACTGAAATTAGCTCCTTAATGGAAAAGAAGCTTGTCAAAACCAGTTACTCCCCATGGAGTTGCAGAGCTTTTTATGTCAATAAAAACTCTGAAAAGAACAAGGAGTTCCTCGTCTGGTTATTGATTGTCGACCCCTCAACCTTGCTTTGAGTTGGATTCGATATCCAATTCCAAATATAAAAAATTTGTTAGATAGATTACAATCTGCTGTAATTTTTTCTAAATTTGATCTTAAATCAGGATATTACCAGGTACAGATTGCAGAGGAAAATAGGTATAAAACTTCTTTTTGTGTACCTTTTGGATAGTATGAATGGACGGTAATGCCATTTGGTCTTAAAAATGCCCCTTCAGAATTTCAACATATTTTGAATGACATTTTTAACCCTTATACTGAATTTTCTATTCTTTATATTGATAATATTTTAATATTTTCAAAATCAATAGATCAACATTATAAACACTTGAAAATTTTCAAATATGTTATTTACAGAAATGGTTTAGCAGTTTCTGCTCCTAAACTTAAAATTTTCCTCACCCAAGTAAAGTTTCTTAGTCATGAAATTTGTGATGGAAAGATTCGACCCATTGATTGCAGTATTGAGTCTACCTCTAAATTCCCTGATAAAATTAAAGATAAAACTCAACTTCAAAGATTCCTTGGTAATCTGAATTATATTCGTAATCACTACAAGAATCTTACACAGGATATAGCAATTTTGTATACAAGGCTACGGAAATCACCACCCCCTTGGACTTTAGAGCATACTAAAGCCATCCAGAAGATCAAACTTCGAGCCAAACAGATTCCTTGTCTGGCTTTAGCAAACTCTTCTTAGTTCAAAATTGTTGAAACTAATGCATCCAATAGTGGATATGATGGAATTCTTAAACAAAAGAATCCCCAAACAGGAACAAAGGAGCTTGTTCGCTTCACTTCAGGAACTTAGAAAAATGCTCAATTAAATTATTCTATTATAAAGAAAGAAATTCTTTCTTTGGTAAAGTGCATTTATAAATTCCAAGATGATTTGATTAATCAGAAATTCTTGTTACGCATTGATTGTAGTGCTACTAAACGAGTACTGGAAAAAGATGTTAAGAATATAGTTTCCAAATAGATATTTACTGGTTGGAAAGCTAATTTATCTACTTTTGATTTTTCAATTGAATATATTAAAGGAAGTTCTAACTCTTTACCTGACTTTTTAACCCATGAATTTCTATAGGGTTCATGAGTCGGCCCAACAGTGGGCAAGGCCGTGGCAAAGGTAAAAATAAAAACAAAGCTAAAGTGGTTATACCACTTGATGATGATCAATATGCAGCTTTGGAGCATCTCTCTGATTTACTTCGTACACCAAATAAAAGGGTGGGCAGCTCATAGAAGAAAACAATAAAGGAAGTTCCTGAAAAGGAAACTCCATGGATACCTAATGAAATGTATATCCAAACTGTATTGATTCTGAATTTTTAGGATGAGAAATGGATGCAAGATCCTTGGGAAGTTAAATCCAGATATTTTCAAACTCAACAGTATGCTGCACTAGATGGTCAACATAGATATATCTGTGAAGTCATGCTTACTGAAACTTCCTCTATGGAATTTACCCACACGAAGCAATTCCCTAATTTAAAAGATAGTCCTCTTACTTATAGTAAAGCTATCTTGAAAAGGCTTATGAGGCCATCTGACTGTGGATTAAATCCCAATTTATCTCGGAAGCTTACTTTCTGATACAGTTATAATTACTGAGATTATATCTCAGCTTGGACATATTCGTTCTTTTATCAGAATCCTAAACACAAGCATTCTTGGTTCATCAAGATATGCCCTCAATCAATTAAGGTTGATTTCTCAAATTGGGTTATTCCTTGGTGGGCCATATTTGGACCAGACCTGAATATTCTGCCTAAGGCAGTAAAACATTTATTCCTCCCATGGCAGCAACTTTATCCTCAACTCAGAGCCAGGATAATATTCCTATAGGGAAATCCACCATACTGTTCTTTACAGAAGTTGGAATCCCTTGGATTTGGAAATGAGATTTTCAATGTAGCTACAATTCTAAAAAACTACCAGTCCTACAAAGGATTTTCTCATACTGATGGTGGGTCGGCATGACTCAGGAACCAACTAAGGCACTCTTGACCCTAATCAAACAGAAGACTATGGCATATCATGATGCTATTCCTAAACTGACATTGACTCAGTTTCCAGATGCACCTGCTATCTTTAACCCCTTGAATTAGTTAAAGATATGATCAGAAAACTGCAACCATTAATTACTGAAACCGATTTAATGGTACAATGTATGGATTTCATGAAGGTCAAATTTGTTAACACATTTGGTTCTTCCACTTCCAAAGTTCGGGATGACATATCCATGGTGTCAGTATCCAGTCAAGAAGGTAATCAGTTTTCCTGTCTAGTTGGTGAAGCTTAAGATCCAGATCAGGATCTTAGCCAAGAGGACCCCTCCGCTAAAGATTATTGGGATTCTCTCACAGTTCATTTGGCAGAAAAGATGAAACCTCCAAGACAGTAGAGATTCTCTTCTATCCTGCCGACAGAAAACGCCAAAGCACTTTCTCCAATATTGGATGCATCAGTTTCAACTGCAAAATGAAAGTTCATATCAAGCATCCCTTATATATATGTGTGTTCAAATTTTTATTAATGAAATACTGTAACTGTATATGACATCATTCCATGCCTCCAGCGCTTACAAGACTATGGATTCACGAGTTTTAGAACATAAAAATGTACTAAATCTTGACTTAAATTAGAACCCAACTGTAGGGTATCTCACCAGAGTGGTAGGGCGTGATGTGTTTGACAAATTATACATTTTAGTTAAAATTCTATCATTCTAAATTCATGATGATCATGAGTTGCAAGGCAACCTCTTGTGATGTTCATGTGCTAACATGTCCCATGAGCCCCATCTAAATGCCTCTTCACCACTCATATCATCACCAGTTATCACAAGATCACCAACTTCTTTAATCCCATGTTCGGTGGTACTTTAACATACACAGCACCTGTGGCCTGTGTTTATTTGATGCACGGACAGTAATAAGCCATGACAAGGCACTCGGATATGTTACATCATCAAATATTTTCATGTTCCTTCTGTTGTGAGGCATTGCCATGCGATACCTCATAACATAGTTCATTAATGGACCACAGTGCACTACTCTCTTAACCACTCAATCCATATGAGAATGCTGACTGTTAATAACAATTTATTCGGGAAAAGTAAATTAAAAGTAAAGGGGTATTTTATACCACAATTTTTTTTTTTTTGGCACTTTATGACATCAAGTAAGAATACTATTTCTATTATTTCATACCATTATTACAATTACAATTATCTATTTATTGTTTTTTAACTCTCTCTTTTTTTTTTTCCCTTCTACTGGTGATTAGAAATTGTTGATAAAATTTACAACAATAGACTGCCAATTAGTGTTTAAATTAGGAATTACAGCCCTATCTCGCACCTAATGAATGGAATGAGCTCAAAGGAAGCTTTAAAAAACATGGCGGGGCTAAACACAGATATATTTTTATTCTTATTCGTTACTGACAGAGTTGTTATTAAACATTGTTTATTGGAGTCGCACAAAAAACTGACCAATATTTATAACAGTATTTTATGAATTACAACCAGTCTTACAATGACAGTCGATTTTATTTTCAATTCTCAAATGTAGCATGTAATTTAAATGACAAAAATATTTTTAACACTTTGATTGTTTTATTTATGAGTTGGAAACACTAAAGTTACTTTCATCTCAAATGTGAAACACATTTGTCAAAAAAAAAAAAAAATTACAAATATGGCTCCTCTTTCTATATTCATTAGTCTTTTACAAGAAATTTATACAATATCCCTTTCATTTCTCTTGAAAACTGTTTTCATTCCGAGGGTACACGTGTCAAAATACTTTCGGATTTATTTTTTTCTTTTCTTTTTTTTATTGGCCAAAAAACTCAACCATTTAACCCTACAAAACTCAAACTCAAAGCCTCACCAACCGGTTTATGAAACTTCTTCAATCTTTCAGTACCTAAGAAATACAATCAAAACACAATTAGAAAGGTCACATATGTGACAAGGATGCAGCACAAGACACACCGCACATTATGAAAAGAGTACTGCTAGACAATCAACGATCGGTTTTTTTTTTTCTCCATTCCAATCATCAGTACCCAACAAGGACTAAGGACTTTCAATTAGTAACGGACTTCAAAATGTTCAAATCAACAATAGACACAGTCAGTCGGTAATAATACCTATTCGCAGCTTTTATCATTTTCCTTCTAAAAAATGAGAGTTGTGCAAGAAATCTTGAAGTAGAAGAACAGACTGTTGAAAGTGAATCATCAACAACACTTTTAAGACATCAAGCACTAAATCTGTAAGTACAACAATTCTGTCAATGAGTAATAAAATAAAATGGCCTGTGCAATTAGATCAATTGAAAGTGAATAAATCAGCCATGACTTAACACCCCTTTAAATACTTTCCATAGCCTAACAACTAGAACTTCCTAAAATGTTCATACCTGCTTCATTTTCTTACCAGAAGTTTTCAAAACTGACTAAATTTATGATTGCCCCCATCCCAACAACATCCATTGAGCCATAAACAGATTAAAAAGACCCTTACACGCATCGTACGTAATAAATAGATTTTAATCGGGACAAGTTGAAAAGTTAAGAAGAGAAAAGGTTGCATCTTAAATCTATCCAGTTATCCGCATTAACTCGATCATCTATTTCTCGTACTCTGACAGCGACATTTGAACTATCTTTTCAAACATTAAGGGTTATGTGATTCAAAAGGCAAAACAACCTCCAAACAATCAAATATAAGGTATGTCATACTCTATCCAACCATTTTCAAGCTTAGCAAGGATTGTAATAGAAAAACTAAAAGAAAGACTCATAAAGGACCCCTTTGAACCTTCAAAAGTTATCTTGGACACGATGTCACCTTAATATGTGCTTGAACCGCGTTAAAATAGGCCCTCCGCCCATTCACATGCTCTTCTATATTTCCTTGGATACACAAAGGCAGGCAGGTCAGTAATGATAAATCGCCAACATAAATGTCATGAACAAAGCTACATGAACACAAAATTTGAAAAACAAGAATTTACTGGAGAGAAGGAAAACATGCACATAGAAGTAACAGCAAGCAGGTATATATGGAAGGGAAATAATAATATCGTTCTCCTACTGAATGTCTAACCCATTAAAAGAGAAATCAATGTTCCAAAATTTTGATTTTCTCTAGACAATTCTGCATGTGCTGGTTAACATCATCTGTGAGGCGAGCTCCGGCCACAAGCTTGTACTGCTCAAATTTCAATTCATCACACTTCAAAGCTGCATTTTTACAAGCTCTGATACTTCCTAAACAAAGAAAACTACATATTAACAAACTCATTTTATCACAAGAAGATATAATTAGATTAAAGAGAATATCTGCACTGTTGCTTGAGGTGGCATAATCTTGATGAGAACAAGACGCTATAACTATTTTAAGTAATGCATAACATCCAGGCTTTTTCCCAGAAAACAACTTTCCATAGAGGAAACACTGTGCTTTATTTGGAGAAATGGCATATTTTGTTTCTCATGTTTCAACAGCGTTTCCAGTTTCTCTCACTCATACAAAACAAGAATTTCTTTTTATTTTGGTTTGTGGTTATTTCCAGGCCTAGGTTCTCTGAAAACCAAACAGAGCCATAACTTTTTAGTTTTAATCACTTTGAAATCTACAGGTTTTCAAAAATGAACCACAGTACAAAGTAATACAGATTTCAAAGCAAGTGTTCTAGATTATTCAACTGTTTCATGTTGTTTCCTGAATACATGTCTCAAAACGTTTTTTTTTTTAATAACACAAAATTAGGAAGCCATTACATTCCTGCATTTTAAAGCTACTAGACTCACCACTTAGGTCCAATAAGTTGAATAGAACTGGACAATTTCCTATACTCTTGACCATGGTAATCGCAGACCAAACTTTTTGGTATTCATCCCTTGAGGCTCTGATGATGCACAGCTTTGTAACAGGATTCACATATTTGACTGCACAAAAATCGCATATTTGAAAATAATGAAAGGGAAATACATGGCCTTTTTATTGAATGTAAAAGGCAATTTTATAAGCAAGACATGACAAAAAGATAGAAACACCAGTGACATGTTATACACTCACCTTGGAATGATCCTAGTGATGAAGCCAACCCACACTCCCCAAAATTCACAAGAATGCTGTCTTTGATTGCTTTTGATACATTAAATTGGGTGATTATAATGGGATCATCAATCCCAAGGTCTTTATTTGGATCCAAGAAGACCTCCATTACCATGTACCGATTTTTAAATCCCACCATGACCCTACACCTTGTGGGTAACAAATTATATATTAAAAATTAAGCTATGAGATAAAGAGAGGCTCAGAGAAACATGCATCAAGATGATAAACATGAAAGAAACAAATTACTAGGTAATTAAGAAATTAGAGAGCATAGCTCAACTAAATATAAATGAATAAATAAATAAATGACAAGTATGGAAATGGAACAAGATAAAAAGCATTTGAGGAAGTTAAAAAAGGTACATGCTGTCAATTTATCGTAAGTGCACTCACATGTATACTGGTCTACAACTATAAACATTTATATTCTGATAATATATAATTCCAACAAAAATGTAAAAGCTAAATAAATACAGGAGAAGGGATGTAAGGGGCCAATTAAAAAAAAAAAAAAAAGGAACAAAAAAACAAAAACAAAGACCAACAACTAAACTCTGCTTCCACTTTTGAACATCAAAATTAAAAGCTAAAAAGAAAAATGAAGAAGAAGAACAATCCAATTATGTGGGAGATAAACACGAAAGAAGAGTTAAGCCAGGGGATCTCTAGAAGGCCAAACTTGAATCTTAAGAATTCGAAATGGAGACACTAAAATTTCTTTCAATGAGCTTCAAAATTTAAAGCTGGTGTTATAGAAATGTCATCAATACAATCCATTCACAAAAATGAGAGAAAGAGGGGAGGAGATACTAAAAGAGAAAAACCATGAAAAAAGTATAGAACCCTAAGACAACCAGAAATGAGTAGTAGATAAGGGCCTGCTTGGGATCAATTTTATGTTATTAGTTTTCTAGAATAGTTTTCAGAGAACAAGAATAGAAAAGAGTTTTCAGTCTTTTGAGTCTCAAAATCCACTTGGTAAGGAAAATTACAAAATAGTTTTTAGAGAAGAAAAACTTTGAATACTGTTTGGTAAGGAAAATACATCTTCAATTTCTTTTCAATTATTAAATCAGCATACTTCATATATAAATAGCTGATGATCAACAAAACTACAGCTTCCCCTACCAGAGTCCAAATTAGCTAAAACTCTTATATTAAGTTATACATACAATGGCAAATACAATGCTAAGTATATACACGTCTGAACAGAAGAATCCGGCAACGTTCAAGACCCAATTTAACCCAGTTTAGGAAAATGGCAAATAATACAATGGCTGAGTACATACATATCTATACAAATCTGAACAGCTGAACAGAAGAATTAGGCAATGCTGAAGACCCAATTTAGGAACCCCAGGTCAGGCCAACCAAAGCAAAGCAATTTAGGAAACCCCGAATCGGGAGTAATGTAGCCCTAGTTTCTTCCTCACTCTGAACCACAGCAATGAAGAAGAAAAATAATCATTGTAGTAATCATCCTCCTCTGCTTCACTACAGGGTGGTATAATAATCAATCGGTGACGACAACAATAACTAATTGATCAATCGGATGGAAGAGAGCAAACCACCACTGGAGGTTTCGTGAAATCTTGCCGGATTCACCATAGGTCAGTGGTGATACAGAATCCAATTGGCCAACAAAATTGACAAGAAGAGATTACTTTGATCACCAGAGCTTTGGTGTAGAGAGAGAGAAGGAAAGAGCACTTTGGTGCAGAGAGAAGGACCAGTGAATCTACCCGAACAAGAAGCTGCAACGATCTCCAATCCGCGACCTGAAGATGTTTCTTGAGGAGATCTGCAGAACACGAGAGAGCTTCAAGAGAGAGACAGAGGCTGAGAGAGAGGGGAGATAGATACAGTATCAGAGATGTGCGGCTGAAAGAAAGATGAGATAGAGATAGGGTTGGGATATAACGCTGGTTTATAAACGAGAGAAATCAATGCCACTTAAGTGAGTGAAGCTGTTCTCCGCATTTTCACCCAAATGAAAATCGTTATGAGAAAATCCACAAAACACCCTAGTTTCTTTTGAGGGTTGCGCACCCCTTTAGCGCCTTTTTAATACAAATCTTACTTATCAAATATAAATATAAATAAAAAAAGTTTTTAGAAATCAGTTCCAAGCAGAACAAAAATAATTTTTTTAGTTTTCTGTCACTCAAAAATCAGTAATGTTTTTTGAGTTGCAATCCAATAAAGGCCAAAGCTTTTTTGAGCTGGCAGCCTCCGTCCTTCGTTTGCTTGAGCACAGTGGCTTCAGGACACTGAAGCTAATTTAAACCAAGCTTAGGAATGGGCTGCCATTCTCTTGAACAGCGGAATAACAACTTCAAAGATTTAGAATTTCTCTTGAAAATCCACGGTAGCTAGAAGGTGTGCTTGATGGTATAAAATGAAAAAGAAGTCACTCGCAGCTATATGGAGAAACATGAACAAGTCAGGTAGGAGAACCCTTCACAAGGAAAGGCTAGAGTATAGAAACAACACACATTCTCCAAACTTACAGAACATAGTGGACAATGATAAGAATAGGTTCAGGCACAAGATCACACCATGAAAATGGAATAGGCACCTCAACATAGCTAAACCAGAATTACTAGATAGGATTTTATAAATTACTCAAGTTCATGGGTATCAAAATCACTTGAGTTCAGCTGAGAACATAAGTTAAGCCAAAAAACTAAAATAATAAGGATCAATTGGCCTTCCCGTGTTCGAATTCCACATCTCTATAGCATATCCTCATTTAAAAAAATAAATAAATAAATAAGAAAAGTTTTTCATATTATGTCCACTATCACCAGAATCAATTAACTTGTTAGTTCAGGCAATTAAATTATGGCCAAAACACTTGAACTGAGGCATTCCCTGTAATAAAAGGTGTTATGTGGAAGGAGTACCGACACAATTAAATGAGATATTCAGCTCAAGCCCTGATTATTGGATTATACAGCAATCAAAACAGGAATTTGTAGAATTACGTTAGAGAAGAGCTCTTGAAGAGGTTTTTATGGTGCTCTATTTCATGGTTCCCACTGAACCTTCACAATGTAGTCCAACAATAAAGGTTTTGCCAGTTCCCAATCTACATAAAAAACTAGGTTTAAACATATAAATGTTTAGAAGATTTCAGCTTCATAGACCAAAAAAATATTGCACTAAATGGTCACCAAGTTATCATGGTTAAAAACAGAACAAAATGCAATTTGAATAATTGATCCACAAAACAATTGAATCTGTGTACAACCTCATTAAATCACAATAATCCCTTAAGACTTTCGCAGGCTAAACTTTTTTCTTCCAAGCAAGTCAGTGTTCAAGTTAAACATGCGATAAATTAAGGAGGAGGTAACCCCGAATGCAAGCACATAAAGACGAGTACATATAATACATATGTGCAAAAATATATATATATAAATAGAATATAATTATTAAGATACCTGTGATTCACACTCAATAACAATGAATTTGAACCCAAAGAAAAGGCTTGCTGATTTCGCTCCTCGAGTAAACACTAAGCTTGACCATCTAGTTGTCCCTTCTAATAATCAACGAAATTAAAGATCCCAAAATTGTGAGTATAACTCTGCATACATTTTTTTTTTGATAAGTATAACTCTGCATACATATAACGTACGAGTAGAATCAATGTGCAATGCAGGTTATGAGAAACGTTTGTAAAAGTTTTTCTGAATAATTGACTTGGATAATTGAATATCAATAGATAAAATCATGTCAATAGAGCAAACTCCTAAAGAATCAATTAGAAGCTTAACCAGCAAACTCTGTCATTTTTAACAAAAATTGCAGTCACTTTTCTATATAATCAAACAAGTATACATTGTCACCTGGAAAACCTGAAGTATGAGCAATACTGCAACCAAAAATGCAGGGTTAAAAAAAAAAAAAAATAGAGTTGACCAAACAAATCAAACAATTTATTTCTTATTCTAAACTTTTAGAGATAGTTATAAAATATGTGAGTTCATCCTCATATTGAAAATAATAGAAAATAGAATTTGAGTTTTATGAAAATAATAAAGAATGGAATTTGAATTTATTGAACTATTCAGATAAAGAATATATTGATTGTGATGAGATAATTAGAATTAAAAACAAACACATTTCAAATAAAATCTCATTCTCTAGAACAGTAAGGAAACAAAAAATACCCAAAACATGATAACCATTCCTCTGTTTTAATTCACCAACACATTTGCTTTCAGGAAAAAATAACCATCTCTCTGTGTTATTTTCCTTTTAATGCACGTATAGCCTCCAAACTGAAAATTGCATATTGGTTGATTTACTATATAGTGAAGTACAATATTACATAACTAACACAATTATGGTTCTTAAAACCACATGCAAACTTGAGTTTTAAGTATTGTTTTTCCCATCTGCTGACCTCAGAGTAGTAAAGCACCCATAATAGCCTGAAGGCCATGTTTCTTCACACACATTCACATTCGACAAGCAAAGAAATTTCCATATGACTAACAACGACAAACAATGACTCCAATTCTAAGTTAACTGAAAAGGCCTATTTATTTGGTACTTCGTTGAATTTTTAAGTTTTCACATGTTACAAATAGCACAATACGTATATCCAGATCAGTAAGAATTCGAAATAGCCTAGAAACCAGTTGTTGATTTCATTGAGTGAACAAATTACTGGATAAATTCAAAAAAAAAGTATTGAGACATACCTTTCAAAATTTAGGGTTTTGAGTTGCGATTTGATGCAGAGAAGAAAGAGAGAGAAATAGAGACACGATCGGGGAAGACGGAGAGAGAGACACGATCAAAGTGCGGAAGCCCACCAAAGCTATTTCGAACTCCGAATTAACATTGGGCCATTCAAGTTCTAAACGGGCTTCAATTTTAAATTGGTAGGGAAAGGGCTGGACCAAAACTTATGATAAATTTTTATTTATGGGCATGGATCAAATAATTCACTTCAACGCATTGCGCTATTTGCAACGATTCATTTGTAGCCCTAGAATGGCTGAATACGTGTAATCATGTTTTTTTAGGATGACTTTTGTTCTATTTTACATTAATGACAGAATAATAAACACTTAATCAAATAATTCACTTCAACAATTCAATTTTAAGTACAAAAAAAAAAAAAAAAATCAATTCAATTTTAAAATCATTTTCCTTTTTTATTTGGAGAAAAGTTTTTATAAGATAAGGGTAGTTTGAGTTCCTTTCCAAATTATAACACTAATCGCTATGGACTTATTGTAAATTATAAACTATGAACAAATTCGAGGAAATTATTAGATGGTGTACTTCATAGACCAGTTAAATTTAGACTACGGAATTGAAAAAATAATCCTACAAAAGTGTATTTTAATATATTATAAGGAAATCTCAACACTAACTTTCATTAAATTAGTTCACAAATTATCCAATTGATCAAAACTAGGCACGGACCGGGGCGTATGCCCTCACTGAAATTTTTTCTATTTGCATTATTATTTATACTTTTTGTTAAAAGTTTGAAAATACCCCCTCTCACTTTGAAAAAATTTTAAAAATGCCCTCTCTCAATTGATAAAAATACAACAATTCACATTCTTGCCCCCGCTGATTTTTTCGATCCAAAAGATAAATCATCTTTTTTTCACTCTACGCCCGCCACATTTATGATTCTCTTTCACACACTTTGATATTCCCACTCAATTTTTTAAAATACCCCTATAAATATCTTGTGTTTTAGATCAAAAGAAAATAAAATAAATCGACTTTCTTGTGTCATCGCGTCCCACATTCATAGTAATCCAGAAAGCACGAACACAGTTAAAAAATCAAAGAATTTGACTCAAACAAGTCACAAAAAAAATTAAATTCTTATATTTATTATTTTATTTAAAAAATTTATCTTCATATTCAATATTTTTTATTCTTCAACAACGACCCCTAAAAAAAATTTCTGATCCGTCACTGATCAAAACCATCAGCTTCCTTAATTTCAAAACTGAATCTTTCAAAGTCAAATGGTCAAGTCAAGCCACAATACAACAATACATCATTCCTACAAAAAATTTCAACAACATTTATCATCTTATCATCTATCTCCCCAAACCTCCCTATACAAATCCCAAAAGGTCCCAAACCATTCCCTCACACAACACTCCAAACCCTAATTAACCCATCTGTCGTCTCTCTCTCAACATGAGTTTCTATATCTCAAAATGCTTATCCTTTTTCTTCATCATCATCACTCCCTTTTACTCCACCTCCACACACGCAGCCACTTTTGAGATCAAAAACCAATGCCCTTTCACAGTCTGGGCCGCAGCCGTGCCAGGCGGTGGCCGCCAACTCGACCGCGGCCAAACCTGGACCATCAACGCCAGCCCCGGCACCAAACAAGCCCGCATATGGGCTCGAACCAAGTGCACCTTCGATGGAGCTGGCCAGGGCCGCTGTGAGACCGGTGACTGCGGTGGACTCCTACAATGCAAAGCCTATGGCACACCACCAAACACACTAGCTGAATATGCATTAAACCAATTCAACAACCTCGACTTCTTCGATATCTCATTAGTCGATGGATTCAATGTGGCCATGGACTTCAGCCCCGCAAGGGCCGCAGCCGGAAAGTGCCGAGCTATCAGATGCGCGGCGGATATCAATGGGCCGTGTCCGAGGGAGTTGAAGGCTGCCGGCGGCTGTAACAACCCGTGCACGGTGTTTAAGACCGATGAGTACTGCTGCAACTCCGGCAAGTGTGGACCGACCAATTTCTCGAGGTTTTTCAAGGAGAGGTGTAGAGATGCATATAGTTATCCCAAGGATGATGAAACAAGCACCTTTACATGCCCTGCCGGAACTAACTACAGGGTGGTGTTTTGTCCTTGAAGCTGCCATATATATGTGCCTGCGCGTATAAGAAGAAGAATAAATGCATAAATAATAGTATTAGTAGTACTTATAAATAAGACCTCTCTGCCCCATTTGTGGACGGTACGAACCCGGTGTTACCGAAAACATGGATATGAAATAATATAGAGATATATATACATACATAACAACTTTTTTTTGGTCCATCTTGCTTGCACGTTAAATTTTATGAATATTACATATAGATAGACTTATGGATTCATATTCATTATTATTTAATGGAGTCAAAGTCATGATTTATAATATAAAATAAAAAATGAAGTTGACCAAAATACTAATATGAACATGGAAAAACATTATTTATTATCTAAATTATTCATATATTGCTTTTGTGCATATAGGTACCATTTTTTGTACAGGCCATGTCTGTGTACACAAAAAGTAGTATCTACATGCATAAGAGTGGTATCTTTATGTAGAAAAATAGTAATTACATGCACAAAAGTGATACATAAAATTAATAGTAAGGGTAATTAGTATTTTTTTATATTTACGTTAACATTTTGGTCAATCTTTTTTTTTTTTTTTCAAAATATCATGACTTTAACCTCCACAAATAATAAATATGAACCTGAGCACCATGTATTGGTAATAATACCTAAATTTTATTCTTCTATGTTTTTCTTACTGTAATTAATCGGTATGAGTAACGGAGAGTTGTCATACTTTATCATGACTTGAGATATATTCTTGTATAAAATGATAAATTTGGCAATTCATTTTGAGAGGGGAGAGAGAGAGAGAGAGAATCTTATTTATTACTGACAAACCTTGTTGAATCCTATTTATCGGACTCGCACCAAAATTCCACCAAGCATTACTACTCACAGGTAGGGACGGAGCCACGAGCTTCCCCACCCCCTTAAGAATGCTTCGACAAAGAAGGTTAAGTGTAATTATCAAAAAAAAAAAAAAAAAAAAAAAATTATTAAATAATTTTGGACTATTGACACTTGGTGAATTAATAATTAAAAAAATGTCTCATAAGAATATATTAATATATTATAAAAAAATTAAAAAAATCTTAACATTGATTTTTATTAAATTAGTACTTTATCAAGTGTCAAATAGTTCTGAATAACCTAATAATTTCTCGAAATAATCAAGAAGGGTAAAAAAAAAAAAAAAATTGAATAGTGTAAAAGCTTCCAATAAATGCAAAGTGGTGATATTACACACACAAATCTGTAATTTGTTTATGGTGTACCACACAAATCTGTAGTTTGCTTATGGTGTACCTTTTACGTACTTATACTCTACTATGCCACGTGGTGATATTACACACAAATTGTAATTTTTTTATGGTGTACTTTTTATGTATTTATACTTTATTATGCCATGTCCTTCTCTTTGACACTTAGTTCTAACATAAGTCGTGCAATTCTTCTCACTAAGTCTCTAGTTATTTGGACGTAAAAAAAAAAATTTACAACATATTTTTATTTTTTGGTATTTAGTTGTCCTAACATATTTACGAAGAAAAAAAATATTAAAATTTAACAAAAATAATTTATCCATAAATTTTGGATAAGTTAATTTACATGCCCCGTCTAATGGACTTGATCTCAATCTCAACGTAAATCTTTGTCAAACACCGACAAAATAAAAATAAAAAAATATTTTATTTAAATAAAAAAAATATTTTACGTGCGGCATCCCTGCTTGACACGTCTGCCCACTCTCTCTCCCACTTTCTGTGATTAAATATTTGGCTTTGAGCGGGTGCACTTAAGTTCCAACGTTCAAGCTATCTGATTGATACGCTGATAATTCAATTTTAAGAGTATTCTTTGCGTTATATAATTCTATTTTTTTTGTCACTCGACATTGTCCGTGCAGTTGTTAAAGAAAGGAATTGCTTCTAAAAGAGGACATGAATATAGAATGAAATACTAAACCCTAGAGCAAGATCTTGCGGCTGAGAGATTTAGCAAAGCAACCCAACACTTTTGTGTTTCAATCACAGATTCTCCTGTGTACGATATGTAGCAATACCCTTCTCAGAAACCGAAAACCTCCAAACCCAACATTTTTCTCCCAATGCTGACTATAACATCATGCATGTTACTCATTTTTCAGTTCATTTCTTTCTTTTCGTACTCTTCTGCTTACTCCTTCACTGTTACTAATAACTGCCCACATCCTATATGGCCCGGCACACTTGCCGGTTCGGGAACGCCACAACTTCCGACAACAGGATTGCAATTGGATTCCGGCCAAAGTGTGACAATTCCATCAGTCCCAGGATGGTCGGGTCGGATTTGGGCAAGAACAGGCTGCTCATTTGATGAGTTCGGAGCTGGTTCGTGTCAAACAGGGGACTGCGGGGGCAGGTTGGAGTGTGACGGCATGGGGGCTACTCCTCCTGCATCACTCTTCGAGATAACCCTTGGTGCAGGCAATGAGAGAGATTTCTACGACGTCAGCATCGTCGACGGTTACAATCTGCCGGTCATTGCTGCGGCCCGTGGGGTTTACGGTGCATGCAATGTCACCGGCTGTGTTTCGGACATCAACATGGGTATGACCTCAATTTACTAGTTATGCAGCAAAATTAGATTCACAGCTGTTAATACACATCTACTCGTGAAATAACCAAATCTTCTGAAACTAGAACAGGTTGTCCAAAAGAACTTCAAGTGGTTGGTGAGGATGGTGGAGAGGAAGGAGGAGTAATTGGATGCAAGAGTGCATGTGAGGCATTTGGGCTGGACCAGTACTGCTGCAGCGGGGAGTTTGCCAACCCGAACACATGCCGGCCCTCATTCTATTCAACGATCTTCAAGAGAGCTTGTCCAAGGGCTTATAGCTATGCATTCGATGATGGAACAAGCACTTTCACATGCAAGGCTTATGATTATGCCATCGTCTTCTGCCCCAATATCGACTATCCCAATGGCAATGGGTAAACATTTTTTTATCTCCGAGCCATCTGTTTTTTCTTTTTCTTCGGCAATGGCTACAAATTCTATACAGAATGATCCCCTTTTCTTTTTCTCAATGCACAAAAATAATGATGATAACAATAGTGTTTGTTGTAATGCAGAATGAAGAGATCAGATGGTGCACTTACAGCTCCACCAGCGGAAGAACACAGCAGCGGGGAGGTTGCAGGGGTGGTTTCCTCCTCAAACATTCTTTTCCCCCTTCCATTGTCAATCATCATCTTCATCTTTAATTTATTCCTCTATACATGCTGAATGAGACACCTTTACATTCATAGAAAGGCTGTAGAATAGAATCAAAAATGCACTTTTTTTTTATAAAGTAGAATCAAAATGCACCTTGACTGGAGAGGATGCTGAAGAAAGAAAGTTTAAGCTCTAATTCTAGCGGAAGAGCTGAATATGTATCAAAAAATTCTCAAGTCAAGTCCAACGAAGCTTATCAAGCTCCATAGAGACTATCTTCAGACTTGTACTCCATCCTTAAAAATAATGCAATGATATAAATCAATTGTTTTACGATCCAGTTTGAATGGTATCAAAATTCCCGAACCATAAGCATAGGGTGGGACAAGAACATCACCATGATGGTATAGCAATAAATTAATGAAAAAAACCATATCAGCATTTCACCCGTGAACATAACTAACTAGGTTTGGCTAAATTACTATATCAAACTTTGTAAATCAAAGTGGCCATCTTATATTAATCATCAATGGTATAATCATGAACTATGGTGAATTTGGAGGGCAGATTTCCTGATGGCTAACATGTGGAGAAAAAAAATAAAAAGAAATTGTTAAACCACACAAAATGGAAGAATCTGGGAAAGAATGCAAATGATTGTTGTGTAGATCTGAACCTCTTCTTTTTTCTTTCAGGAAAAAGGGCTATTACAGTCCTTGAACTAATACACCACAATTTGGGAAATAAATATGAATTTTGTAATTTCTACTGTTCTTCCTTAACCTATGAGAATAGGTGTCAGCCATTTGAGGTTGATGCTTCCTACCTAGCACATGTAAGTAGCAAAAAGAAAAGGAAAGAAAATGAAACAATACATACATTCTCTATCACTTCTTAGCCTTGGTTTTTTTTGGAGCTTGAGTTTTCTTTTTTGTGTTCTTTGGCCGTTTTCCACCTGCTGCAGTCTTACCCTTTTTTCGTGCGGCACCCTACACCGAGAATTCAATAAAATTATCATAAGTGGATCATGATATAAAAATAAATCAAGGTCTTGTCATGACATGAAACAGAGACATTTTTTTTACTAGGAAGAGTCAAGAGGCATACTGATGTTTTCCCCGCTTTCGCTTTGGTTTTTCCATTGGGTTGCTCTTCAGTGCCCTCATTTTGATCAGTTTGGCCACTAATGGCTTTAGGCATCTTCTCAGCCTCGTCTTCTGAATCAAATGAGAATCCATCCAGTGTTCCTACTCATGCAAAATGATTAAGGAAGAGCAATACTGTCCATCAAAATAAAAAATAAAAATGTAGAATATCCTAAAAGAACCTTAAAAAAATTCCTACCTTCAACCATTGTTTCAGCCTCATAAACATTAGATTGTGGTTTCAATTGAATAAAGTCATTCATGATAGCCTCTATCTGATCAAAAAAAAAAAAACTATAATGTCAAATCAATAAACCAAATTTCTCCAACATCTTGCTCATTTCTCAGCCATAAGAAAATAAGAAAGTTGGCATCAAGGAGGAGCAAAAGCTATGGATTTGTTAACCAATCATATTTTAGATAAAGTACAAGTGTAAGATTAAAGGGGCACTGTCAGAAAAGAATCAAGTAATGTGTACTGATATTAATGGGAAAGAAGAACAAGAATATTAAAGGTAAAAACTGAATAGGAAACAAATAATTGACAAACGAACCTTTGCTTCTGCCTGACCAAGGCTAACCTGAACATGAAGAATTCTATGTTACATCACAGAATCAAAACCATTTAATACTAAATCTGAACAGGAAAAAGGTATCATGAAGCACCATTACATGATCTCTCTGTTTCAACCATTACATGGAGAGATTCACGGTAAGAGTTTCTTCATCTTACGGCAGAAAGAGAGAGTTCACTGTGGGCTCTCATGATAGCACTGCTTGCATTAATTTGGGTGTACATACGAGAGAGAGAGAGGTAGTTATATGTCATGCAATTAGGCTCTATTTGTTTGAGCGTAAAATATTTTTCGGAAAATATTTTCTTTGGTGTTTGGTTGTCGTAAAATATTTACGAAGAAAAAAATATATTAAAACTTAACAAAAATAACTTATTCATCAATTTTCAACAAGCTAGCCCCACCCGATGGACTAGACCTAAACCTTGACCTAGACCTTTACCAAACACCGAAAAATAAAAATAAAAGAAAATATTTTACCTAAAAAAGGAAAATATTTTACGTCGAAACAAACGGAGCCTTAATGCAAATAAGTGTTCAAGGTTCAATTGTCTAATATAGAATTTCAAGAATAATGACATACAACACAGAATGTCCTGGAAGGAACTATGGTTGTTTTGTATATGGTTCCTGAAACATAAAGGTAAGTAAAATAAATCAGAAGAGGCTCTGCATGGAAACCTTCATAACAAGTAGCCAAGGCATTAATCCAACGGAAGAAATATAGAGTGTACCTTTCAAATCTATAAACATTTCATCATTTACGGTTGGGTTATCTGATATAACTAGTCGTCCAACAGAACCCATATCACCACTCAAATCTATGGATTCACCTTCACACTCAACAAGTGCCTGCACAACTTATATAAAACTGTCACTAGCAAGAGTTAATAAAACAGATTTGAACATGTTGGTAAACACACCAAATGAGATAAAGATAAACAGTATCAAGGCAGGCACCCGAGAGAGAACTAAACTAAAATAATACATTTACTGTAGCATACATGCAGCTTCAAATAGAAGCATTTAACGGATTTCCCAAAGACATTTTTTTTTTTTTTTTTGATAAGTGGATTTCCCAAAGACATTGAAAAGCTAAGTAACCAAACAATGAAGCAGACAACGGTGCGTAAATCACTTCTTGCTGAATGTCTCACCCTGGGTCCTAACTTTATCAAGTTCTTTTTGCAACAACAACAACAACAATAACAGGGTGAGACCTTGCAGTATGTTAGTGGATTTGATTATGCTTGTTACTCATTCTGAGACTAACCCAGGATCTTGAATCAATTTTCTGGAAAAGAGGCAAAAACAGAGAAAAATAATACCATGACCAATATGAAAGGTTTGTCTACCTTTGAACGGTGGACTTTCTCAGAGAGCACCAAAGGCAACCTTGAAGAGGAGAACTGCAATTTATATATCCCAAAGGTGATTCAGTAAATTAAACAACAGGGGAACACACTTTCAAAATGACTATTAAATCTTCTTACATGAGGTTCAATATGCTTCTCAGAAATTTCTTCTTCTGCAACCTCAATGTCACCGTCAATTCCTGTATTGTTATCAAATGATTTTACAAAACTCATACTAAGAGAGAATAAATCTACAAAGAGTGTGAGTGGTTCCAAGTTTCATGGAAGGATTATTTTACTATATTCTCTCAAAACTTAATTAGAGGTTTTATAAATAATTTATCTGAAATCTTTGCAATTCAATAAAGAACCATTACAAGAACCTCAGATCTGTCACTCCTTCTGCCTGTTATACCTTTTCTGCTCGTTTGGGGGTTCAAAATTTTCTTCTTTGTTGGTGTCTGATCCTCTGTTTTCAGCCGTTTTCTTGGTGATTTCCTTTTGGAAGCCTCACTGAACGGAGACTCTCCCCCACTGTCAATGAAGAGTGCATTCTTGTCACCTTCCTTCTCTGGCTTTAGGCCATTATCAGGACAAGACTCAGAATCTGATGATAATGCCCAAACTGAATGATTTGGTGCCTGTTCAAGCAACCACATTCTAGCAATTAGGATCTAGAAAAAGATGACAGCAAACTAGGAGATTCCAATTTAATATCCTCAAAAATTTAACAATTTAATATTATCAAGATACATATTGGTCTTGAATATCAAATTTTGGGACATTTAAGAACACTACAAGAGGTCGAAAGCCAGTAAATCTCTAGAACTCAAAAGGAAATTAGAATAACTATAGGGTCGATTGGTAACATAACTAAATAAGGGTGTTGTTGATCTATAGATAACATGAAAAACCACAACTTGGTCCAACTTGCCATGTTTCCTTACGAAGAAATTGTCTCTTTAAAATTATAAAACAAATCAATTTCATTTTAATCCTGTGCAAATGATGATCTACAAAAAGCATAGGAAAAATATGAAGATAGGTTGAATGTAGAAATTAGCACCCCAAAACAATCTTAGTGCTTCACCCAACAAAAAATGGATCTTTGCCCCCAAGGACATGTGCTGGTAGAGTAGCTGACCCTAGAAATCTCGTTAAGAATATCTTTAAACTGTTGCCTTCTCTCATCATGAAAGAAAAGACAAGCCAATCTCAGTACTGAGTACCCTGTTAGACTCCACCATAATCTGGACAAAATCTTTGGACTATGTATCGACATCTTCATTTACAAATAAAAAAATTAAAGAGAAAAAATATAGCAGTTCCCTTTAGATTCAGATACCTATTATCATGGCTAACACTAGCGGCCTCTCTTGTTTGCCTTTATAAGCTCCTGATAATGTTTCTTTGAGATCCTGCTATATGGCCATCGCTCCAGAAGAAACGATGGAAACTTTATAACATACCCTATATGCCGAAAAGGTTTTCTGCCTTGGATAATTAAAAAGTCATTAACAAACACCAACCATGTTTCCTCTAGCTTCTCGCTTATAGTCACAGACCACAATCCTTTTTCTTCTTACAACTTCACGATTATCAATCACCACGATCATGCAATTACATCAAACTCAGAATACACAATTATCGTGATATTCCTTGAAGATGCAGCTCAGTTCATTTTTGAACTCAATCCTTAGTTGCTTGCTGGGTAAAACTTTAAAAGACATCATTTTCACCTTTTCTAAACTATGCCACTTCCCTTCCCCTAACTCCCATATTAAAAATAAAAAATAGAGAGAGAGAGAGAGAGAGAGAAGGAACAAAAGTACGCATAACTTTTACCAATTTTTAAAGCTTCAGAAGATAATATCAATATGAAATGTTTCTCATGTTGCCTTAAGACATAATGACCTTGCTATTTCTTCCATTCATCCTAATGGTATCCCAACTTTAATCTTCAAATTCAAACCACCAATGGACTAGCATAAAAACAAGTGATCAATCTAATTCAAGCTGAAATTACTAACATATTCAATGTTTATGCACCTGCAAGTTACACATATGTGGATCCTTTGAAAAAGATAACTATACTTGCAAGCTACCACCAAGGGTTGTAGCCAAATGGTATTCCCTCAACTTCCCGAAATGGAAGGTTGAGGGTTCAAGTTCGCATAAGGTGCATTATTTTCCAGGATAAAGGGGGGAAAAAAGCCTATACTTCCAAGCTACAAAGATACAATCTTGGTGTAATACGGGCCATTGGCTTATTTTAGCTAATAATGACAGTTGTATTTTCTCAACTAGATGCTTAGAAGGAAAAAAAATCCATCATGATCAGGACATTAAGTAGTTCTATATCTAAATTATGGACTTCCTTTTTTCCTTTGCTCTTAAAGGCACCAAAGGCAACCTCAACAAGGATACCTGAAATTTTGGTACATTGAACTAAATAATAATTAGGCAAATTGTGTTCCAGGCTTCTTACACGTGGGTCAATATTCTCCTCAGATGTTTCTTGATTAGCAACTTTTCCATCACCCACATTCCCTATATCATCACCGAAAAACAGACACTTTAGAATTCAAAAGGTATACAACTTTCAAAAACTTATTAAGAATAAGAAAACTATAAAGATAAAATTATAGTATAATTCACATGCGAAAAGCTTCAAACCAAATCACATATCATTTCCTTCATAAGAACTTAATTGGGGGTTCTGTTACATATTTATTTAAAACCTGGACACGAGTTGTATAGCATGAGAAAATAAAACCCACCTCTTTTACCGCGATTAACTATTTTATTCTTTCTGGTGTAGGAGTGCTTTACTTTCAGCTTTTTGTTCGGAGACTTTGCTTTTGAAGTCTTATCGGATGGAGACTTTTCACCACCCTCATGAAAAACTGTATCCTGATCAGATGCTTCTTTCAGAGATGGTTTCTCGGGATCAGAGTTATCCTCCCTTGTAGGACTGTCATTTGGAGAAGACTCAGAACCTGATAACAAAGTCACGGCTGAAGTAGGTGCCTATTCAACAAAGTAATTTCTTGCAATCAACACCCGGCAAAAATGGGAGTGAAGTACATGGAACCAACCAAGCATAAGCAATCTATAGCCTTAAGAAAACCAACATTACTGTTCACCTCACAAACAGTTTTCATATCAATGTTTTTTGGATTCTTATTTCTTAACTATAATAATCTGAGCAATGTAAAATCAGAACCGCACGTTGGAATGCAAGAAAAGGGGAACGTATTATGTGATAGTTCGCATATAATTACAAATATATAGATATATGTACTGCATATAAATCTACACTGAAATGGCCACAACAAAACTAGCTGAAGATTTAGAAGTCCAATTATAGTGCAGTGTCTAGACTTCACTTAGTTACATTGCATTACTGCATAACTGAAGATGCATTAGCCTTTCATAGACAGTTTTCCGAGCTCCACACTTCTATTTAACGACTAAACAAGAATCGGAGAGAAGTTCTAGGCGAATAAATGAGTCCATGAAAAGTAAACATCTTCTATAATCCACATATAATTACAAAAAATTATAAATACATATATAAATATATATTTATATATATGTACATAGATATGTACTCAAATGTGCAGTATAAAACTAGATGAAGATTTAAAAGTTCAAGTGCAGAGTCTTGATTAAGAATTACACTGCATTGCTGCATAATTAGTGATGTATTTGTGTTTTTCATGAACAATTTTTTTAATTATATGCTTCTATATAACAACGAAACTAGAATCAGAGTGAAATTGTAGGTGAATAATTTTCTTATCTATACACATCTACTAAGTGGAACTAAAATCAGAGAAAAATGGAGAATAGAGAGATAAAATGAAAAGTACCTGAAAATGATGCAGCCAATCTGGAGACTCCTCTCTAGAGAAACTCATTCTAGCTACGTTCCGAGTCTGAACGATGGGAGAGAAGATTTTATAAAACCCTAACCTGAAAAAGAAAGAGAGAGAGCAAAAAAACCTAATACGGAGTACTACTTGCAAAGGCCGGTGACAGTTGCAGGTATGGAGGCGTGATAGAACGCAATTTACAAATATAGCCCTCTTCTTATTTCAGTTCTCTCTCCCCAAAACTAAAAGTGCAAAGAACATTCCTTTAATTTTAAAAAAGTGCAAATAACACCCCGTTATTCAAACACCACTCCTCTAGCTTCAAAACATTGCAAATAAGGACTTTTTATCCGAGGGATAGATAAAAATACGAAAATACCCCCCAATATTTTTTATTCAATAATAATATAAAAATTTGAAAAAGTCGAAATTACCCAAATAGACATTGACTTAAACTACGTCGTTTTGGGTAATGAAACACAGTGCACTTGCAAACTACGTCGTTTGGCAATAGGGTTATACAAACACTTGCAAACGACCGCGTTTGGCTAATCAACAGTTGCTGTTTCTGGCGCTCTTCGTCAGAAATGGCGGCGAAAGCACCCTGAGTGCCCTTGATCGGCGTAGTTGGCGCCGATTTCTTCCTCTGGAGCGAATTCAACTCGTCGATGGTCTGAGTCTTCACCGTCGGACCACTGTCGTCATGACACACCTCGTCCTGCTTCTTCGTCTGAATCTTCGAAAGCCCGTTCCGGCCACTCCCATTGTTGCTCGCAGCAAAGCTAAACTATCCGTTTCCAACTCCGTTCGCCGCCATCTCTTCCTTTTCTGCACTTTCACACAATTATATATAATATTCGGCGCTGTCGCGTCGCTGTCGGAAGGACCGCAATATTCGGCGTCGTCGCGTCGTTGTCGGAAGGACAGACGCCGACCTCGAAAATGATACCGAATCGATTGGCAATATTGCCGCAGAAAACTTGATTGTTAAAGCCCGTTTCTATTTATGCATAAAGGTGTTCCTTTGGCTCTCTGTTTTTTTTTTTTACTAGGGCTTGAGATTGATGCATGTTACAAGGGTTGGGATTTTGATCCTCGTAACCTGAAAATATAGTATCTATCTATATTGACAACCCCATGGGATGTGATCAGTCTGTTTGATTCGTATTCTGGGTTTTGCTCCTCCTCTGTATACTGGGTTTTGTTCCTTTAACCAATCCAATCTATACGGATAATTTATTTATGTGAATCCAAACCGCATAAATTAAATTACAATTGAAATCAACAATTGCAATATCCCCTTTTGGAACAAATGTGTGTGAGATTTCAGATACGGATTTGCCTTGTCTTTTCAAAATAGCTGCAAGTCCACATCGGTGAATCCCTTTTGGGAAGACGTCTGAGCTTGACTGACAACAAAATTGAGTCATGAAAGTGAGAGAGAAGACGACTGAACCTAACAAGGACTCGGGGAAGTGTAACACACACAGATTGGAAGCATGTTGAATAATCTAAAAGGGGTGAAGTGCAAAAAAAATTGTAATTAATGATCAAATTTTGTTATTTTGTCAAAATAAATATTATAATAATAATAATAATGATATATATAATGATCAAAATTTGTTGTTTCATAAAAAAATTCGATTAGCTCCACTGCAAATTCTCAAGCAGCTTGGGAACAGAAAAACAGAGCTGCTAGAATAATGTAAGTGGTTAGTGAATAGTGAGAGAAGAGAAATAGAGAGAAAATTGTATGTGTGTGTGTGTGTGCGCATACAGAATTGAGTGAGGGCAATTTTGGAACACATAAAGGGTAAAATTGGTATTAATGAGGCATTTTTTGTCACATGACCCGCACATGCTATTTTTTGGTGTCAAAAGTCCTTCTTTGCTCACTTTACAAACTACAGGGTGGAATTTTAACATGAAATGTATTATTTACACACTTTTGAAACTAGGAGTGTTTTTCGCGCTTACTCCCAAACTAAAACCATGTTTGGATCAATTTGAAAAAAATTGTTTCCAAAACTTAGACAGTGTTTGGTTACATTTGAAAACATTTTTTCCGGATAATTAGAAAGTAATTTAACTCAGTTTAAAAAAAACTTATTTATTTAAAAAAGTGACAACCAAACCCCTTTTCTTTTTTTTTCTTTTTTGTATAATTCTCTTAAAAACAGAAAAGTGAACCAAATGTATCTATCAAATACTAAACACCATTGGGATTCTAAATAATAGTAGCCTTCAAATATCAAACATCATATTGTGACTAGTATATTTTGTAAAATTTACTGATAAATGATAACAAAATAAAATTTATTAATTTTAATTTATTATAATTGCCATTGTGGACATTACCACTTGTATGCCACATGGACAAGGAGGTGGTCGCTGATGTGGCTATCATGTATAACCGTGATTATATGATGTGATTACTCCTCTCCTGTTTTTTGTTTCTTTTTTTTCTTTTTTCTTTTTTAAAAAAAAAAAAAAGGTTCGATTTACTCTTCTTAATATTAAAACAATTTAGCTATTCCTTTTTTTTTTTTTTTAACTTTTATATTTTTTTTCATAATCATACCCACACACCTTTACTTTTATATTATAAAAAATTGAAAGTTGGCAATATTATATGAAAATAAAATTAAGGCAATCATAACTCATAAGTTTGTAAAATACAAAAAAAAAAAAAATAATAATGATGATAATAAATAAAAATCTCGTATATTTATACTATTATTAAAAATACAAAGAATTTCTATTCAATTTTGAGTTTTTAAAAGAATTAATATAAAACACTATCACATATTACCTATTTTATTTATTTTTTTAAAAGAGTTATTTTCTTTCTAATTTTACCCTCCTATTTTTTTGGGACAATTTTAAAAAAGAAACAATTTTGAGTTTCTATCCAATCCTTAATTAAGTTAAAAAGAGTTTCAATTTTTAATTAATTTTGAAAATATTTTTTATTTTCTTTTTAAAAAATAGTTTTTAGTCAAAGAAACAATCAACTAACAATAAAGTAAATAAAGTTAGTGATTGACAACGGTTTTTTTAGTGTTGGGAAAAATCTGACCATCTGGAGCAAAACGATCCAGTACAACATATGATGTCTTGAGTTTACACCTCCTCGCTCTACTCATAATTGGCAGTTGAACGCGACCTCCCAATCCTCTAAACTTCAGGCTAACTCTTCAACTCTTATTATAGAAAAATAATTGAAATAATACAAACACTCATCTAAAAAAAAAAAAAAAAAACTCTCAAAAAGCTCTCTTACTTGTCAAAATATTAATCTCTACTAAATTTTTAGGAGAGAAAAAATAATATTTATAGATGTTAGAGAGAACTAATTATATTTCAAAAACAAGTTTAATTTATGCAAACAACTCCCCCTAAAAATAAAAAAATAAAAAAATAAAAAATAAAAATTGAACTAAAACAACAGTTCTAATTTGGTTAGAGGGCCTTGGTACCGGTCCGTGAAAGTTGGACCGGTCCATTTTTGACAGACTTGAAAATCTTGATTAAACACTCAAAATTTTCAAGCCATGATCGCCAAAAAATTGGACCATAAAGTGTGCTCGCCAACATACCTTCTCTAGTATGATGCTCTTTTCGAACGGAAGTTCAACGCATAGTGGTTTGATCGAAACGTTTTGACACCAAATTTTGCTAATATAAAATATGAACATCACAATATCTCCTTTTAGCAGTTTCATGACAAAATCCCTAAACAACATGTAATCTAACTCAATTAATAAAAGCAAATTACAATATTTTTCAAAAATAGAATGAAAAATAGAATGAAGTTTTATCTCCCATTCTCCCTCTTAAATATAGAGTACCTCTTCTCTCACTTTTTGTGAGGAATTGACAATACACTTCATAAGAGAGAGAGTATAAGATGGAGGAAACAAATGACAAAAGAGTAATATATAATCAATAATTGAGTTAAAAGTTCACACAAAATTGACATATATGAATAATATAAAAGATAAGTATGAAAATATAATTATCCATCATCCACACAAAAAATCTAAGAGATAATAACAATCATCGTCATCAAAAGATATATCCATAAAAAGCTATCATTATCAAAATAACATCAGCAATAAAAAATTCCAAATAGTTCAACAGTCAATATCATTATCAAGATTTAAACATTGAAAGATCAACTCAATTGTTATCCAACTAACGGATGGATGGCATAACAGTATCAACTTTTTTCTTTTTAAAAAAAGGTTAGACCTTTCACTTTTCAAAGGGAGATCAAGGGTTCAAGTTTCAAAAGAGACAAATGTGTGTGAGTGCCAACTAAGAAAAAAGACTCAATTGTCATCCATTTCAGATATCGTCCAACGGTTTACTCACTAGACTTTGAAACTTATTAAGCTCAAGATCTGGAGCTTGAGTCCTGCTAGGTATTCTTTGCGACTAGTCTTCGCTGCTCTGCATTGACGTACGCGGGCCGAGTGGAGAGACGCCATTTCAGGTTCTCGGAGATTAGTCGGGTTGTTGAAAGGACCTAAAGATTCATACTCGAAAACCCCGAGTTAACTATAAAAAAAAACTTATAAATTTTGTCAAAAACCTTGATTGCAATAATTCAAGCACCGATTATTTTAATTCACAGAAATATCAATAAAACTTCAAGCCAACTACAAATAAAAGAGAAACAAAAATCCACAAGATTAACCAAATTCTCTCCCAACTACAAATGACTCCTTCCAAGCTTTAAATCCTACAAATAATCATAAAGCATAAAACACTATCAATTTGGAAATATCTCCACAATTTCATCAAGGTATCACCCAAATAATGAATAAGATTATCACAATTTAAATCCTACAAATAATCATAAAAGCATAAAACACTATCAATTTCGAAATATCTCCACAATTTCATCAAGGTATCACCCAAATAATGAATAAGATTATCACAATTAACCAATATCCAAATATTAATCCCAAACTTTACAACTTTTTAATTCAAGCTCCAAACTTCAACCTATGTACCAAATAGAAACATTCACTAGAGAGAAAGGATGACGCGTAATGAGATTTCCCTGGTGAAGAATCACAAGATGATGATGCTCGGTGAAGTGAGGCTTTCAAGGGCACATGACAAGTTAAACATGCACATGCCTTGGACTGGTCCAGTTTCTAATTTTAAAAATGAAACACCAGTTGGACA